CCCAAAAATGGCCGATTTGGCGCTTTTGAACGAGCCCCCTCAAAATGGCCGACGGGAACCGCCTCAGCAGGGAATGGCTGACCGTGCCCTCAAGATGGCCGACCAGATGACCTCCCGGAACAGCCAAGCCGGTGGCTCCAAGATGGCTGACTGGAGCTGCTCCAAAATGGCCACCCGCGTGCCCCTAAGATGGCCGACCTGGCCCACACAAAATGGCCGATGGGGCCCCCAAGATGGCCGACTGGAACATCCCCAAATGGCTGCCCAGGTGACCCCAAGATGGCCGACAGTGACGCCAAGATGGCCGACCTGGCAGACGGATGATGTCACGAGATGGTGACTAGCTTGAACATAGTGATGTCAGAAGGGGCACTCACATCGAACTTGGTGATGTCGGAACTGGCAGCCATCTTGAATGCAGTGATGTCAGAGGTGGTGGCCATGTTGATCCAGGTGATGTCACAACTGGCAGCCATGGTGCTCCCTGTGATGTCACGAGGCAGTGGCCACCTTGAAGCTGCGATGGCAGAACCAGCAGCCATCTTGGGTGCAGTGATGTCGGAGGCGGTTGCCATCTTGAACATGGTGGTGTCAGAACCGGCGGCCATCTTTAACACAGTGATGTCAGAGGCGGTGGTCATCTCGAACGCAGCGATGCCAGAACCGGCAGCCATCTTGGACTCAGTGATGTCGGAACCAGTGATGTCAGCATGGGGCCTCTGCGTGCTGTCAGAGCTGGCAGCCATCTTGAATGCAGTGATGTCAGCGGTGGCCATCTTGAAAAGTGATGTCAGAACCAGCAGCCGTCTTGAACCAAGCGATGTCAGAGCCAGCAGCCATCTTGACCCCAGCAGATGTTAGAGCTGGCGGCCATCTTGAACCCACCGATGCCAGAGCTGGCGGCCACCGTGACCTCAGTGGACGTCAGAGCGGGCGGCCATCTTGACCAGGGCAGATGTGGGAGCTAGCAGCCATCTTGACTCCAATGGATGTCGTAACTGGCGGCCATCTTGAAACACAGTGAATGTTGCAGCCAGCGGCCATCTTGACCCCAGCAGATGTGAGACTTGGCGGCCATCTTGTCCTAAGCAGATATTGGAACCAGGGGCCATCTTGATTCCGGCAGACATGGCACCTGGCAGCCATCTTGACTCCAGCAGATGCCAGCGCTGGCAGCCATCCTGACCCCAGCAGACATAGGATCTGGCAGCCATCTTGACTCCAGTAGACATGTGACCTGGTGGCCATCTTGACTCCAGTGGACATCCGAGCTGGCGGCCATCTTGACTCCAGTGGACGTCGGAGCCGGCGGCCATCTTGACCCTGGCAGAGATGAAACCTGGTGGCCATTTGACTCCAGTGGCCATCGGAGCCGGTGGCCATCTTGCCTCCGGCAGCTATACCACCCGGCAGCCCCCTCGCCCCCCATGGCCATCCGAACTGGCGGCCATCTTGCGGCGGGAGCTAGCAGCCAGGGGCCCAGCGGAGTCGGAGGGCT